CAAATATTTGAAAGTATTTGTTGTAGGAAGTTCAAGTGAATACAAGTCTGAATTAGGAATTTCTAAAAAGAGGTCTATTGTAAAGTAGTTGGCACTATATGTAATGTTGGTTGTTATAGAAGGTTTTACTATACAAAGGTTGTGTGTATAAATCCATGATTGGCAAGATAGCACCAATATCCCTTAAGGCAGCATTGGGGATCTTGTTTAGGAGGATAACCAGATGGTAACCAGAATTGGAAGTGGTGAAAAATATGGTAAATACAAAGAGACCTGTGATAAAGAATTAATTTTACTAGATTTGGAACACCTCTGGCAATATGGAACTTACTGGCCAATAAGAAGTTGAAGCATGGAGGTGTGTATATGTTGATAGATCCAACAGGCTCTGGTTATACCTATATAGGAGCCTTTGGATGTTAAAAGAACTTGGAAACACCAATAAGATATAGCTGGTATAAGTGCATATAGTGGTAATTGGGGGCTACAACTGTCGAGAATTACTATAAAAAAAAATGATGATACATCATTACCTCTGAGCCTCATGATGCTACCCAACTATATTAATTACTAAAAGCATTCTGTGAAACATACCTGGGAACTCATTACCATATTGAAAAGTACAATTGTTAGCACAATTACCAAAATAAATACATTAAGACCTGGGTTCTAAAGTTGCAGGAAATCAGCTAGTTATGGCAATATGCAGGCTTAAGATACTTACCCAATTGGGTAGAGGCAGCTGTATGGCTTGAGATATGAACTTCTGGAAATATGCCAGTAGAAACTAAGGAAGTAACTCTCTGTCAAATACACAAACCAGAAGCAACAAGTGCCTATCTAGAGCAATACATACTAATTTGAAAGTTGAAAGAGTAGATAATGTGGATAATGTGGTAGATATGTGAATACTAATTGGCAGTTGGGGAGGGATATACAAATCCAGGTCAGCTATGTAGTTTGAATATAGTCAGCTCTGGTGGGTTTTAGTTATGGATAAATAGTTTGTATACCTGATGTTTTAGTCTTAGTACTTGACATAATATGTATATATATAGGTACTATCATATGTTAATCATTTAAGTATTAATAAAGTCTAAGTGCAAGTGCTACACTCTTAAAATTAAAATATATATATATAAAAGCAAAAAAAAATTTTAATAGTAAATTTTAGATTTTGAAACTATGATCTAAAACATAGGTTTGTAATGAAGAATTGGTTTGCTATTTCAATAATAAGAAATTTTTATACTATATTAGATTATTATTACTAGCTCTTTGCCTATGCCTTTGTTATAAGAATTTTTTAAAATCAGTTGTTATTTTAAAAAATTACTTGCTTCAGATAATTGAAGCATATGTTAAATTAGTTTTATCAGAATTATCATGACTTCTATTTCAAATATAAACTACTTGCTATTCTAGTGACAATAGTTCATAGTTAAGATTGAGTTTATATTAGAATTATTGTAATTCTTTTTATAAGTTGCTGCAAGAAATTCTGTAACAAAACTCATTTGCTAGTAAGTTAATTTTGTATTAGAATTATTATAATTTCTATAAAGAGTTGTTATAAAATATTCTTTTTGTTAAAGAATTTGCTATTCTAATCAGTATGAAATATATTTAAGGTTAAGTTAGCTTGTATTAAATTATTATAGCTTCTATTATGAGTCTAAATAAAACTTACTTGCTATTCTAGTAATTAAAGTTGAGTTAGTTTATATTGCAATTACTATTATGAGTTGTAAAAAATTTTGGTACAAAATTTACTTGTCACTCTGGTAATCATATATAGTAAATTAGTTTGTATTTGAATTATTATAATTTTTATCAGGAGTTATTATAAAGATCTTGTTAAAGAATTTGCTATTTTAGTAAAAAATAGTATGTAGTCAGCAAGTCCGGAATGTTTGCAGATTAGTGCCAGATTACCAATTAGATTTCAAAATCAGGTTATACAATTAAAACAAGTATTCATTTTGCTAAAAATTGGTTATTTCTCAAAAATATGTATAAGAAATGATCTTTAATATTTTAATAAAAAGTTTTTCTAAAACACATACAAAGAACTTTTTCTGACGATCACTTGAACCAAAATTTTCTACCAAAGAAAAATTGAATTTTTGTTTGTGGCCTAACATAGCGGTTTGCCTAGAGGTCAATAGTTCTCTTCTACTGGGACTCCTCTATTAGATGTGCATTCAGCATGCAAACCAGGAGTGTTTATATACAAAATAACTGGCAAGAGGTGTGTACCCTTGTATACAAAATCTTGGAGGTGGGGCAAAAGCCTTCGCTGTTAACGAAGTTATTTAGGCTGTTACTTTGGAAGAAGAATACAGGGTAAACAACAGGAGTTTCTTTTTCTTCAAGCCACACTCTTTTATTTGACCAAGTGGTTTTCTTTCTACCTTTACTCACCCTCTTGTCGGTTTTTCAAAATTTTCTAAAAAAGTGGGGATTTGGCTTACCCTCTCCAAAAGATCGGTATTGTTTACACTTACTGAATTCAGATAAACTGAGTGGATTGCAACCATGTATTTGTTTTGATGATCAATACGGTGCTACGGTATAGGGAAGAAATCAACGCCCCTGTTTAGAAGATACCCAAGTTGTGTTGGTACCTGGAATAAGTTGAATCGATAAAGTTGAAGGCTTTATAATTGAGATATACTTCTAGTTGAAATTAGTATATAATTTTTATCTTTATGCTTAGCACAGGCTATAATAGTGTGTCAAGGCTACCTTTTCTTTTTTCGCTTTTTTTATCTTTGTTCATTTATATTAGATTATTTTAGAATTTGTTTTCTTGGTTGTGTTTTTTTTTATCGCCGTTAGGTGTTTTTTTTCTAAAATGTTTAGATCTTTCGTAAACATGGCTTTATTTTTTTACTTTTATATATAAATAAGGGTTTTAATTATTTTGTCGAGCTTAGGTAGAAGAAGTTTGAAAGAAGGGAAAGTAGTCTTGATGGGCCAGTAGAATCCATCTAGTGATATCATATTTCTTTCGCTTCAGGAAGGGGTATTTTGGAGGTAAACTTGCTTATAGCAGGTTGTATATAGGTGTCTAAGAAATAACCAGGTGAGCCAGTACTTGTAATTTAGATATCAAAAGGGTTAGCCTTTTGTAAAAGTCATATAAATTTATATTGTATAATGTAAAAAATTACGATAGCCTAATAAAGTATATGGCAAGACTGCCGAAATAATAAAAAAAAAAATAATAAGTTTTTCTTGAATGATTTTACTATATAATTTTTCTAAATCTAACACTAATTTAACCTTAATACAAATATTAATATACAGTATATAGTTTACTTTTACATTATTCATATCCTAGTAAAGATATGTAAGTTAGCATAATGCACAAATATAAATCAAAAATTTAAAACCCAAAAACTATAAAATTAATATAAGTTTTTATATTTATTTAGCTCTAGTAAAGGTTAGCAAGAGTCAATAAACTATTTTTACAATAAACAACATTTTCTAATTACATTTTATATTGTAATATAATTAATTTATTTTTTTTTATTTTTATTTTTTCTCTTTGATAACCATGTACTAAAGTTTATTAAATTTATAACACTTAATTCAAGACTAAGCTATTTAATATATTTTTAGACTAAAAACCGATTGTCTCTGCAAAATGCCTAACCTTGGTTATCACACTAATAATTGCCACTATATCCAACATATAGCACAGCACATTTAAAGATATAGTATAGCCTGAGCTCAGCTTCTATCATATTAGAACCTCTTTTCTCTTCCAATTCTTTCTTCTTCTCAAAGGGCATGAGGCAAAAAGAGAAAAAATTTTTAAACAAAAATGCTACGAAAATAACTACAAAAAAGAAAAACAAACAAAAGAAAAAAAATAAACACAGATTACAAAAAAGAAAAAATATAAAAAGAAATCCAAAGGCACAATTATAATTTGTGCAAAGTTGATAAAAATTATATAACAAATGCAATATTTGTATATCTCTCTTGTAAAGCTTTGCTTTAATATTAAATTTACTCTCCAACCTTTTTATCAACTTTGAATAGCTTTGTTGCCTGTCCAATTCATATTTTGAGCCAGATGCTACCATTGTTCCAAAGGGCCCATATCTCAAGCCACTTGTTTTTTGCTACCATAATTAGAGTTCCTAGGCTGAGTTCTATAAAGTAGCGCCATATCTATTTATAAACAAACACATAGTTGCATTCTACTAGTTTGTCTGAACTTGGGAAGTAAACAATACTAATCTTTTGGAGGGGTAAAGCCAAATCTCCACTTTTTGTTGTAAAATTTTGGAAGAAAGGCAGAGAAGTAAAAAAAGAATAGTAGGAACTACTTGGCCAGAAAAAAGAAGTGCAGCTTAAAGGAAGCTTGTTTTTTACTGTTTCTCAGTTGTTTTGCAACCGATAGCTTCATTGACAGAAGGCTTGGACTTCTATCACCTCTCTATTTACTAAAATTTCATATACAAGAGCACCATCTTCTGCCAGTTATCTTGTATATAGATGCTTTTGGCTTGTATATAAAATATATTCAGGAGTCTCCAAGTAGAGAAGGTTAACCTTTATAAAAACCACCCTGTTAATTCACCTTACTACAAGTTACTACTCTCTAGTATTGAAAATAGGATTTTCTTTTTATTAGAAAATTTAGTTCAAGTGATTGTTAAAAAGAGTTGTTATTTTTAGTAAGTATGCTATATAATTAATTTATCAATTATAACTAAATGTCATAATTTTAGTTTTTTGTATAACAAATATTATAATTAATTTTTTACTTAGATCACATTTTTTGAATCTAATCTAATCAAAAATGGTAAAATTTGCAAACCCAAAATTAATTATATATATTTAAACCAAAAAATTTATTATATACATGATTTAAATACTATGTAATAATAAATTTTTTAATCTTCTTCATCTCGTAATACTATTTGATGTATTAACTCAATGGGATTATAATTCATATTACTTACTATTACATCTCTAGTCTAATTAGTTGTAACAGACTTTGAAGAAAATATTGTATCTCTAGATACTAAAAACTCTAGCAATATTAAATCTACTAAATCTGCAATATTTAATATTAAACTTTCCAAATTTTCATTTTTATTAATATCATCTAAATTATTAGTTCTGTCATTATTAGTAATTTTATCTGAAGTTTCGAGTAAATCATATGTAACTATTGATATATTAATACTTTCATATAACTCTTTACTATTTAAATCTTTGCTATAAAGTTGAAGTTCTTTATCAGAATTTGAAAAATAGTAAGAGTGTATTTTTGCTATATCTTCTATTCAAGAAAGACAAAGTTAAGTTTGCTTATTACTATAAAACTATTTAAACATTAAAAATTTCTTTCACAGATAGCTTATAAAGAAACAATTGAAAATAATTGTAATGCTAATTGTTGAAGTTGATCTTGATCATCTTTAATATATATACTATAACATCGTTTAATTGGTGTTTCATAAATAGAATTATAAAAAAATAGTACAGTTCATCTTTTTGTTTTCAAATTTGCATTTCTACTAATAATTGCATATATAACTCTTTTAAACAATATAAATCATTTTAAATTAATATAGCTTTTTTATAAATTTTATTTAATACTATTCTTTTTAAGCTATAATCTAAAAAATATATACATAATTAAATTATATAATTATGTTAGCTATAATTAAAATCTTATAGAGACATGATTTCAATTGTATCTCACTTTTTTTTTTAATATTAGAGTGTAGCACTCACCCAAGACTTTTATTAATACTTAAGCAAATTAATATATGATGGTGCCAAAATATATACATATTATATATTAGAACTAGAACTAGGATTTTAGGTCTAAGACTATTTGTCTATAGCTAAAACCCACTAGAGCCATCAACACTCCCACATGTGTGATTGATCTAGATTTATATATCTCTTTCTAATCATCAATTAGTATTCACATGTCTGCCACTTTACCCATATTATCTAATATCTTAACTCCCAAATTGGTGTGTACCAGGTAGGCACTTATTGCTCCTAGTAGCATAGTGGACATTCGATTTGATTGGTTAAAAAAATGTAAACAAATAAACAATATACATAATATAAATCATTATATAAATTTTAATATAGCTGTTTAATTAGAGTTTTACTATTACCAAGTTGATAACTTTACTAGTATAATTACTAAAGATTTTGGTCTTAAGGCTTTCATTGTCTTAGTACCACCCTTGGAAATTTGAACTTTTGTTGTTGAAAATTTTAAGTTTAGTTGTTGTATTAGAATCTTTGCTGTCTTAATTAGAACTGTAAATATAGCATAGTAGTTAGAACTAGTATAAACTAGTATAGTATTTAGATTCAGATATTAGACACAGCACAATAATTAGAACTAGACATGGCACAGTAGTTAGATTCAGGGCATTAGAACTAAACATAGTTAGATTTAGAATATTAAAATTAATATAGTATGGTAGTTAAATTTGGATATTAGAATTGTATGTAGTATAATAGTTAAATTTTGAGATGTGGCATGATAATTAGATTTGGCATATTAGAACTAAATGTAGTACAATAATTAGATTCGGGATATTAGAAGTAGTAGTTAGATTTAGGACTTTGAAATTTGGTTTTAGAATTATATATAGTATAAGATTTTAGATACAATATGGTAGTAGATTTAGTAGTGATTATTTGTATTTTTTTTTTTTTTGAATAATAAAAATTGAGTTTCTTATATTTTGTTTTTTAAAAAAATTTTTTTTTAATCAAGTAAAAAAAAACAATTATATGTTAACAATTCGTATAACAAATTTGAAATAATACCATCTAAAATTAACTATCTAATTCTAATTTTAGTTCTAACTTTAACATACTAAACTAACTGAACTAAACTAACTCTAGCCCAATACCAATTCTATTTAACTCAACACTAATCCTTTTTTTTTTTTTTTTTTTTTTTTTTTTTTTATTAATATAATATCATAGTAGAAACTTTATTACAGTTAGTCCGAAGATTGAAAGTTATCTTATAGTCTACAAATCCAGGTAAGGGGACAGATAAGCTA